AAGAAGGAAGGAAGAGAGAAAGGGGAGGGAGGGAGAAGAAAAGAGGGAGGGAGGCAGAGAAAGAAGGAAAGAAGGAAGGAAGAGAGAAAGGAAGGAAGGGAGGGAGGCAGGGAGGCAGGGAAGGAAGGAAAGAAGGAAGGTGGGTGGGAGGGAGGGAAACAAGGAAGGAAGGAAAGAAGAAGAGAGGGGAGGGAGGAAGGAAGGAAGAAAAGAGATGGAAGATGAAAGGAAGGAAGGAAGCATTTTGTTCACTTCCGATAGAGCCACCCAGAAACAGCAGCCCATTTTACTACCCACCTACAATGTCCAACGTCAGGATTTTCCCCACAGTACCAATGGTGACACCCTGATCCAGAACGAGGTACAGTAAATAAGAAAGCTTTCAAGTTTCCTTTCCCTGGTGTTTGTGACAGATTGCATCCAGGAAGTGAGACAAGGAAGGCTGGGTATAAAGCTCTCTTCCTCCTTGAAGGCCATCCGGTCAACTCAAGCAGGTTGTGGGGATGGTTGGTGATAAAAAGAATATTAAATGGCATTTGCAGATAAGGGGAGTTGTCCCATTTAATGGGCAATGCAGATCTGCTGAGCTATTAAGGCATTTATTATCACTGTTTGAGGAACCAGAAATCCACCTCATGAATTTCCCATCTCAAGAAAACAATCCTACCCCAGGACTAGCTTCCTTGGGATGAGTATTTTCAGACACACTGCTTCAGACTATGGAGGCTTTGCTTAAGTACGGTAACATGTGCCGACTAGCACAGCCATCTTCCATTAAGTTTTCATCTCCTTTCCCAAAACTAACTGCAACGCAGCTCTGAGGAAACGCCAAAAGTTAATTCTGCCTGACATAACCAACTCTTTTGTTCCGACATTTCTTATACAGGTAGTCCTCGGCTTATGACTACCACGGAGGGAGGGCAGAACGCCCATCGTTAAGCAAGGAGCTTGAGTGGTGCCGGATTTTACGACCTTTTTAGCGTGGTGCTGTTAAGCGAAGCACTTTATATATATATTTATAACTCGCCATGGCCAACTTAACTTGGCCAACTCAACACGGCCAACTCAACGCGGCCAACTCAACACGGCCAACTCAACATGGCCAACAACATGGCCAACTCAATGCGGCCAATTCAACATGGCCAACTCAACACAGCCAACTCAACATGGCCAACTCAACGCGGCCAACTCAACGCGGCCAACTCAACATGGCCAACAACATGGCCAACTCAACACGGCCAATTCAACATGGCCAACTCAACACAGCCAACTCAACATGGCCAACTCAACACGGCCAACTCAACATAGCCAACTCACATGCTGGCCAACTCACTGTGGCCCAATTTAACAATTCTATGTAATGATGTAAAAATAAATCAAGATTATTTTAAGTTTCGCCATTCCCATTTCATTGGGTCCCTCGTTTTGCATCCTTCCTTTAATGATTCCGTTCCACCATTTTTTTGATATGAAGAGTAACTCTTGTCCTGCGGCGAGCTGGCCACAGCAAGTTGACTGTAGCGAGTTGGCCGTGGTGAATCGTCATAGACCCCAATCGGAACAGCTACATTGCAAGTCAAGTTAGGTTAGTGATTTAAGTGTTAAAGCCAATCACCAAACAGTGGTTTGTAATGTCAAGGAACGCCTGTATTAAATGGGCAATCCTGGTTGAAAGAGAGCAAGCAGGACAGGGGAAGGAATCCATGAAATAGCTTCTCTATCACGTGCTTCATTTCTTAAACCTCAAAGGCATCTCCCCCACCCTCTTTCAGCCCACATATTAAAAGCCCCGGACGCCTGCTTCTTTCATTTTGGCAAAGTTATCGTGTAAGCCGATTGTAATTAAAATCAACACCATTGGGCTCGCTAAACTATCCCTTATGGCTTGGAAAGTTGGACTGCACAGCATAAGGTTGCTTTGCAACCAGGTAATTCTACTTTTTTTTTAAAAAAAAGAAAGAAAGAAAGAAAGAAAATGTAAAGCCCTCTTAGGTTTCCTGGGGCTCAGACACTGAATGGAAAAAATGAGAAAAAACACCACCAAAGTTAATTTTGGCCACTACTTTCCTCTTAACTTCTCTCCATCCCAGGGAATTAAGGCTGTCGGTTGAGCAAAAACAAAACAAGACAAAACAGAAGGCTAGAAAAGAAAAAGGGGGACAAAAATCCTAAAACAAAATGAAAAGCACCCAAAGGCCAGACAAGGAATACTGGATGGAAAGTGATCAAGGAGAGATTCAACCTAGAAATAAGAAGATATTTTCTGATGGTGACAGCAATCAACCGATGGGACAGAAGTTGCCTTCGGAAGTTGTGGGAGCTTCACCACTGGAAGCTTTCAAGAAGAGACTGGACAGTCATCTGTCAGAAATGGTGTAGGTCTCCTGCTTGGGTGGGGGGTTGGACTAGATGACCTACAAGGTCCCTTCCAACTCTGTTAATCTGTTAATGTTGATGCTTGTCTAAAGAGATGGGCGGAAAAACGAATCTTCCTTTAATTTCACAATGAAAATATCCCCATGGATGAACAAAGCCTGCCTTAAATAAATCCACAACTGGGGTCAGGGTTCCAATTGTTAAACAAGGCAATGAAGTGAATCGCTCCCAATTTAATGAACTTTCTGTCACAGTTGTTAAGCGAATCATGTCCTCGTTAAGCAAATCCGGCAGGAGAGGGCTGAATTTTTGAACTTGAAGGAACCGAATATATTGGACAAGTGGAAGGAAGGAAGGGTCTTATTGGATGTGTGGGTTTCAGCTCCCAGAATTCCCCAGCCAGCATGCTAATAAACTTTAAGATGTGCGGACTTTAGCTCCCAAAATTCCCCAGGCAGCATGGGGGCATTTCCCCACCCAGGAATTCTGGGACTTGAAGTCCACCCATCTCAAAGTTGCCAAGATGGAGCAACATTGATCTAGACTTCAGCATTGCATAAAACTGTCGCACCCTACAATTGTCCTCATCCCTGTGGTTCATCCCTCTGGCTGTGTTCCTTCTCTTCCCCCCCCCCCCAAGGCCTTTTTCCTTGTTTCCCCCCACCCACTTTTCACTAGAGGAATGCAGAGAAGATTCTGCCTGCACTGAATTAAGTTTCTCATTGGGATTAAGGAACTCATTTTGATGGGAGAACCCAATTCAAGTCCTTTTCCCTGCTCCCTAAGAACATCACCTCCCTCTCAGAGCCCAACCCACCTTGCAGAGTTGTTAGGAAGATAGAGTCCACCCCCCAACCCTCACTCAGCCACCCCCAGTTATGGGTGGAATGATGGAGCCATGTTAAGTCTCCGTTGGCCAAAACTCAAGAACCAAGCAACCCCTTTTCCAGCTAATAACTTTAATGAAAAGGGGGTACGCTTTGGACGAGCTTTTAATAGGAAAAAGGGTCACCTAATTCCTGATTTTTTTTTCCCTCTTGGATTTCCCAGGGCCTGCCAGATAGACGGGGTTCAAACTGACCCAGGCAAGCTGCCAAAAAAAACTACACACTTCTAAGCTGCATGAACAGTTTATAATGCCTTGGTAAGGCCACACTTGGAATTCTGCATCCAGTTTTGGTCGCCACGGTGTAAAAAAGATGTGGAGACTCTAGAAAGAGTGCAGAGAAGAGCACAGAGTAGTAACTGTGAGAGGGATCTTGGAGTCTTAGTGGACAACCAGCTAAATAGGAGCCAGCCGTGTGCAGCAGCTGCCAAAAAAAGCCAACACAGTTCTAGGCTGCATAAACAGAGGGATAGAATCTTTCGCCGTGCCCTAAAAACTTTTCTTTTCCATCAAGCAGGGCTGGCGTGAAACCCCCCCCCCTTTTTTTTTCTTTTAGCCTTTTAAATTGTCAATGGGTTTTAGTTTGAATATTTTAAATTTTGGGCCAAAGTCATGTAATTCTTTTAAAATTTAAAATTTTGTATTGGTATGTGTTTTAGTTCTGGCTGTGCACCGCCCTGAGTCCACTAGGAGAATGGCGGGATACAAATTGAATAAAGTAAATAAATAAATAAATAAATAGAATCAAGATCACGTGAAGTGTTAATACCACTTTATAATGCCTTGGTAAGGCCACACTTGGAATATTGCATCCAATTTTGGTCACAACAATGTAAAAAAAAGATGTGGAGACTCTAGAAAGAATGTAGAGAAGAGCAACCAAGAGGATTAGGGGACTGGAGGCTAAAACGTATGAAGAATGGTTGCAGGAACTGGGTATGTCTAGTTTAATGAAAAGAAGGACTAGGGGAGACATGATAGCAGTGTTCCAGTATCTCAGGGGCTGCCCAAAGAAGAGGGAGTCAAGCTATTCTCCAAAGCACCTGAGGGCAGAACAAGAAGCAACGGGTGGAAACCTTCCTCCTCCTCTTTCTCCTCCTTCCTCCCCCTCCTCTTTCTCCTTCTCCTTCTCCTCTTCTTCCTCCTTTTCCTCTGCTTTCTCTCCCTCCTTCTCCTCTTTCTCCTTCTCTTCTTTCTCCTCCTCCTCCTTTCTCCTTCTCTTAGGGGACTGGAGGCTAAAACATATGAAGAACGGTTGCTGGAATTGGGTATGTCTAGTTTGATGAAAAGAAGGACTAGGGGAGACATGATAGCAGTCTTCCAATATCTCCTTGGCTGCCCCAAAGAAGAGGAGTCAAGCTATTCTCCAAAGCACCTGAAGGCAGGACAAGAAGCAATGGGTGGAAACTAATCAAGGAGAGAAGCAATTTAGAACTAAGGAGAAATTTTCTGACAGTGAGAACAATTAATCCGTGGAACTACTTGCCTCCAGAAGTTGTGAATGCCCCAACACTGGAAGTTTTTAAGAAGATGTTGGATCACCATTTGTCTGAAGTGGTGTAGGGTTTCCTGCCTAAGCAGGGGGTTGGACTAGAAGACCTCCAAGGTCCCTTCCAACTCCGTTACTCTAGTTCTAATTTGCCAAGAAAGTTGCAAAGGCATCGAAGCGCCCTAGCAACACAACCCCGTTTCCCACCCGGCCGCTTGACTCCGGCATTGGATGGGGGGGGGGGGGTACCTGAAGTCGCTGTAAGGATGGATGATCCAGAAGCCGGCCGATTTGACCCTCTCTTGCTCCCTCTCCACCGCCTTCTGGCTGCCGAACATCCGCAGGGAGAATTTGTTCACGCCGGGCTGCAGCAGAGCGCCGAACTGGCGCTGCATGAAGCCGGCTTGGCCCAGGCGAAGCTCGTCGTCCGGGCTGATCTGGTCCCCCGAAGCCCCGGGGCTTTCCACCTTCACGAAGGCCGCGTCGGGCGGCGGGTCCTGGCGGGGAGCGGCCGCCGCCGGGGTGGAGGAAGAGGAGGAAGGGGCGGCGGCGCGGCGGCAGTGGGGGCGTCCGCCAGGCCCGGGGGGCTCCGCTCGTCGCCCGGGGAAGCGGCTTCGCCTTGGTGGCCGATCAGGCGGCGACCCTCGCCCGAGTCGTGCGGGTGGCGGCTGGCCAGAGAGGAGCGGCTGCCCTTCAGACGCCGACAGTCGCCGTTGGTGCTGCTCTTGGCGCTCGGCCGGCCAAGCCCACCGGCCGCCGCCTCTGCGCTCTCCGCAGGGCCGCCTTCCGAGGCTCTGGATCCCGGGCCGGGCCTCGACGGCTCCGCCGAAGCTCCTGCGGCCGCCGAGGGCGAGAGCGGGTGCAGGCGGATGCTCTTGCGCCGGGCATCTTTGCAGCCGCCGCCTCCTCCTCCTCCTCCTCCTCCTCCGCCTTCACCTCCCCCGCCGCTCTCCTCCTCCTCCTCTTCCTCGTCCATCAGCGAGGCTTTGGGCGCGATCTGCTGCGGGAGGCTGTAGAGCCGCTTGCGCATCGACGGCGGCAAGCGATCCATGGCCCGGGCCCGCCGCGAGCGAGGAGGGCGATGAGCCCCAGGCGGTGGGCGCAGCTTGGAGGGCGGAGGGGAGACCCGGCTGTGCCAACCGTCTTTTTCTGCTGCTTCTTCTTCTTCTTCTTCTTCTTCTTTTCTCTCCACCCAGCCGGCCAACCGGCCGGCCCCCCACCAGCGCCAGGCTCAAGGGGCGGCCGCCAGCTGCCCGGACGCCGCGCTCGTCATCTCCTTGCTGGCTGGGCTGCTCTTGGAGACGGGGTCCCCGCCGGGCGAGGGCCGAGGAGCAGGGCCGGCAGCCGAAAGAGCGGAGCCCTCCAGGGAAGCCGCCCCTTCCTCCTCCTCCTCCTCTTCCTCCTCTCCCTCCAGGCGGGGGGCGGCCCACCCCCTTCCCGGCTAGCCGTGGGGGTGCTGGGCCGCCGCCTCGAGGGACCCACCGAGCCGCTTCAGGAGGCCAGGGATCCGGGGGCGCCGCCGGGACATCTCGGCCGGGAGGTTCCCCGAGGACAAGCCCGGCGCCGCGTCTGCTTCTTCCCGAAAGGCGACATCGTCACAAGGAAGAGGCTGATGGGGAGGAGGAGGAGGAGGGCGAGAAGCGGGAGGGCGGCGGTGCGGGGCGCAACAGCCGCGCACGCGGCGGCTCGGATCCAAAGCGGCGGCGCAGGGCGATCACCAGGACTTGCGCGCCCCGCTTGGGGTTACATCATTGCTGCTGTTTGCTCCCATCTCTCCGGGTTCAGGCAGCAGCTCCGGAGCCTGGGAATATTCAGGAAGGCGGCAGATCCGATTGGGTGGCCACTGGAGTCCCCGCGTCCAATCGGCTGGGTCTACCTGAGCCGGCGCCCGGCTTCTTAAAGGGGCAACACCTTGGGAGGGGGCGCTCGGCCCTGTGGGGGGAGGTAGGGGGAATTAAAGGGGGGGGGAGAGAGGGGGGAGGAGAAAGAGGGAGAAAGAGAGATGTGGAAAGAGAGAGAGAGGATGAGAGAGAATGAGAGAAAGAAAAGGGGGGGAGGGAGGGAGGGAGGGAGGGGGAAAAAGAGAGAGAATGAAAGAGAATGAGAGAGAGAGAAAGAATGAGAGAGAATGAGAGAGAAAGAAAAGGGGGAAGAGGGAGGGAGGAAGGAAGGAAGGGGGAAAGAGAGAGAGAATGAGAGAGAATGAGAGAGAGAGAAAGAATGAGAGAATGAGAGAAAGAAAGGGAGGAGAGGGAGGGAGGGAGGGAGGGAGGAAGGGGAAAGGGGAGAGAGAGAGATGTGGAAAGAGAGAGAGAATGAGAGAAAGAAAAGGGGGAGAAAGGGGGAGGGAGGAAGGGAGGGAGGAAAAAAGGAAGGATGGGGAAAAGTGGAGAGAAAGAGAGAGATGTGGAAAGAGAGAGAGAAAATGAGAGAATGAGAGAGAGAAAGAATGAGAGAATGAGAGAAAAAGAAAAGGGAGGGAGGGAGGGGGAAAGAGGGAGAGAGAGAGATGTGGAAAGAGAGAGAGAGAAAATGAGAGAGAATGAGAGAAAAAGAAAAGGGAGGGAGGGAGGAGGGGGAAAGAGGAGAGAGAGAGAGAATCAGAAGAAAAAAAGAGAGCTGGTAACACCCAGGATCTGGGTGTAGATTGTCCTTTAGGTGCCAATTTTAACCCAACCGTCTCTTTGCCTCCCTAGAGCTTTAGAAATCCCTCATTCCAGGGGAAGGAAAGGGGTCTCTGTTTAGCCCCCACCTCCTCCAGCAAACATTTGAGAAATCCCTCTCACTATTTGGGTTGTTTAAAAGTAATCCCTCCCCTAACTTCCTGAAAACTTCAAACATATTGAGAGGACCAGATCCCTTTCCGTTGCCCCCTCAAAAAGTGACTGTTTTCCCCAGTATATTTCCAGCAAGTTCTTTTCCCATTTCCACCCCAGAACGATAACCCTGCGAGGTAGGCTGGGCTGAGAGAGACAGTATTTGCCGTTTCCTCCGAACTACTCAAAATTTCCGCTACCAGTTCGCCAGAACCTGCTGGATTTCACCCCTGGTCTGCTGGCCAAAACGGAGCTCAGGAGGGCCGCGTGTGCGGATCTGGATGGGGAGAAACCGGCTCAAACTCAACCCTTCCAAGACTGAGTGGCTGTGGTTCCCGGTAGACTAGTACCTCTGCTAAATCCTAAATAATTGTCACATGACCATCAAGCCACGCCCACAAAATAAGCCACGCCCACAGAACCGGTAGTAAAAAACTTTAGAACCCCCCCCTGCTCAGGATGCTCCATATTTTGCCCAAAATATAGCACAATTAGTAAAAAAGGATAGGGGACATCTCTATTGTGGGTGATTTATGATCGTCCTTTTCCCTGATGTCCAATGGGTGAAGGAATGCCAACTTGAAAAGGCTCCCGACAGCCATCTCCGTAATTGATTGCTATATAATCTATATAATCTTACATAATTTATTCGCTATTACTTTAGGACCTGGCATTTGAATCAGCTGATATCTTTCTTTCTGGACCAAGTGTGGGATTTAGATGTAATTATTATCTGGACAAGAAGACAACAATTATATATGAAGTGTTGGAGAGGTTATTTAGTACCCTTTTTGTGCACTCTGTGGCGAACAGTTGGAAATGAGAAGCCAAGACAGCGATTCCAATGGAAAAAGTAGGAGATTAAGATATACATTTCAAAGCCATTCGCCTTCCAGTGTCCAGGTAAGAAAAAACAAATAAGAGCATTTTGCCAAATCATGAATCTACTCTTAGGTGATACTGCTGATGATGCTACCTAGTTGGGTAATGAAACGTCTGCAAGAAAACTCCCCCCCTTCCTCTCCCACTTCCGCTTCTTCCTCTTCCCTCCTCCTCTTCTTCTTCCTCCTCCCCTCCCGCTTCCTCTTCTTCTTCTTTCTTCTTCCTCCTCCTCCTCCTCTTCTTCCTCCTCCTCTCCGGCTTCCTCTTCTTCCTCTTTCCTCCTCCTCCTCCACTTCTTCTCTCTTCCTCCTCCCCTCCTGCTTTCTCTTCCCTCCTCCTCTTCTTCTTGTTCCTCCTCTTCCTCCTCCCCTCCCGCTTCCTCTTCCCTCCTCTTCTTCTTGTTCCTCCTCTTCCTCCTCCCCTCCCGCTTCCTCTTCTTCCTCTTCCCTCCTTCTCTTCTTCTTGTTCCTCCTCTTCCTCCTCCCCTCCTGCTTCCTCTTTTTCTTCTTTCTTCCTCCTCTTCTTCTTCCTCTTCCCTCCTCCTCCTCTTGTTCCTCCTCTTCTGATTCCTCCTCCCCTCCCGTTTCCTCTTCTTCTTGTTCCTCCTCTTCTTCTCTCTTCCTCCTCCCCTCCCGCTTCCTCTTCCCTCCTCCTCCTCCTCTTCTTGTTCCTCCTCTTCCTCCTCCCCTACCGCTTCCTCTTCTTCTTCTTGTTCCTCCTCCTCCTCTTCTCTCTTCCTCCTCCCCTCCCGCTTCCTCTTCTTCCTCTTCCCTCCTTCTCCTCTTCTTGTTCCTCCTCTTCCTCCTCCCCTCCTACTTCCTCTTTTTCTTCTTTCTTCCTCCTCTTCTTCCTCTTCCCTCCTCCTCTTCTTGTTCCTCCTCTTCCTCTTCCTCCTCCCCTCCCCTTTCCTCTTCTTCTTGTTCCTCCTCTTCTTCTCTCTTCCTCCTCCCCTCCCATTTCCTCTTCTTCTTGTTCCTCCTCCTCTTCTTCTCTCTTCCTCCTCCCCTCCCGCTTCCTCTTCCCTCCTCCTCCTCCTCTTCTTGTTCCTCCTCTTCCTCCTCCCCTACCGCTTCTTCTTCTTCTTGTTCCTCCTCCTCCTCCTCCTCTTCTCTCTTCCTCCTCCCCTCCCGCTTCTTCTTCCTCTTTCCTCCTTCTCCTCCCATTTCCTCTTCTTCTTGTTCCTCCTCTTCTTCTCTCTTCCTCCTCCCCTCCCCTCCCGCTTCCTCTTCCCTCCTCCTCCTCCTCTTCTTGTTCCTCCTCTTCCTCCTCCCTTCCTGCTTCCTCCTCTTCTTCTTGTTCCTCTTGTTCCTCCTCCTCTCCCGCTTCCTCTTCTTCCTCTTCCCTCCTCCGACCTCACTTATCAAATTGATATTCAGCACCATGGAGAGCTCAGCATAAGGTTGAGTTGCCAGGCCACAAAGGAAGACTTTTGAGATGCTGCTTCCATTCTAGGCTGGAGGCTGTCCAAGAAAAGTCAGTAGGTATGGTCTGTGTGTGTGTGTGTGTGTGTGTTTGCATATGGAGATGAAGAGGGATGGTGGCTATTTATTTATTTATTAAACAGATTTGCAGCTTCTCAGTTTCTCACCGGATCTGTTTGGCCAGAAGGAGTTTTCTTTTTATTTCTATTTATGAAATGGAGTCACTCCCACAGTTGGGTTCGACTCCAAGCAGTTTCACAAGTCTAAAAACACATCGACGACACCAACTCGCACAACGGAATCTGTGGCACAATAAAACGAGCCAACAGAACACAACGAAAGTCGGGATTGATGGCTCCGCAATCGGTCGCTGAAGCGATCCTGTGCTCTTAAGACCCTGCTCTTCCGACAGGCAGGGCTAGCTTCGTAATTGAGTTTTAAATTTGGAATTCTTAAACTTTTGGGTTTTTTAGTTAATTGGCCTTAAATGCAATACTTTTAATAATTTTTTTAAATTTAAATTGTGATATTTGTATTGTGTTTTTACCTGGCTGTACACCGCCCCGAGTCCTTCGGGAGAGGGGCGGTATAGAAATAAAATTATCCTTATCCTTATCCTTCCAGAAGAGGCTGAATAGAGTTGATATTTATTTTTAATTTAATTTAATTTAATTTAATTTAATTTAATTTAATTTAATTTAATTTAATTTAATTTGTCATATTTTTATGCCGCCCACTCTCCGAGGACTCTGGGCGGCTTACACCAAAGACAGTATGCTAAATAGCATATTGCCCCCAACAATCTGGGTCCTCATTTTACCCACCTCGGAAGGACGGAAGGCTGAGTCAACCTTGAGCCTGGTGAGATTTGATCCGCTGATCTGCTGAACTAGCAGTCAGCTGAAGTAGCTGCAGTACTGCACTCTAACCACTGCGCCACCTCGGCTCTTTTGCCTTTTCTTTGAATGCATTCCATTCATAAGAGCTGTATGTAAGATCATACCAACCAAATTTTGCCAGGTGATTATCTTGTGGGACGTGTTTGGGCCACACTTTGCTAAAGTCACTCTCATTAGAGACAGTTGGGGAGGGAGAGCAAATTCATGAAAGGATGAGAGAAAATACCATGTTTCTCCAAAAATAAGACCCTGTCTTATATATATTTTTTGCCACAAAAAAAAGGCACCAGGTCTTATTTTCGGGGGGGGGGGGGAGACAACATCCACTGACTCACCTCACTTGTGTGCATCGCCCCTGGCCTCCTTTTCACTGTCAGAGGCCTTCAGGAACTTCTTCGGCTAACAAGGCTTTCCGGGAAGGTCTCTGCAGCCGATAACAGAACTCCAGATCGATCCGGAGCTCTGTTATCGGCTACAAAGGCCTTCAGGAAAACCTTGCCGGCTGCAGAAGAAATGGGCCGGCAAGGCAGGTGATGTCAGGACAGTGATGAAATCCAATTTTTTTCCCTACCGGTTCTGTGGGCGTGGCTTGGTGGGCGTGGCAGGGGAAGGATACTGCAGAATCTCCATTCCCACCCCACTCCTGGGGGAAGGATACTGCAAAATCTCCATTCCCACCCCACTCCTGGGGGAAGGATATTGCAAAATCTCCATTCCCACCCCACTCTGAGGCCAACCAGAGGTGGCATTTGCTGGTTCTCCTAACTGCTCAA